ATTTTAATAAGTAATGAGTTAAAACTTATAAATCTAATAAGATAAAAAATTAAAAATATTATAATATAATGCAAGGAATTAAAACTTTTAAATTTGATAAAGTCAGGGTTAAAATAGGTTTTTGCCTCGTTCCTTTGACTAAAAGAAAAATAAATAAATAAAAAAAAATAACAGAGAGTCAGAGACACGGAAATCTACTGAATCCCAGCTCGCTGCTTCTTAAACACTACAGTACTACACAAAGAAAGATGCAAAAGAGGAACGTGAAGAGTCTAGACTTCTAAGAGGAATGTGGGTCAACAATATCTTTGCTATTTCTGTTTCTGCTTGATCTTGAAAAGGTAAGTGAATTGATTGAATTTGCTGTTAGATCAATCAAATCTTCTTAATTTATTGTTAATTTTAGTGAAGTCTGAAACTTTCTACATTCAGTTAAGTGGAATTGTTGTTGTTAAGTAGTTTTAGGTTCTGATAAACCCTTTCATTGCCCTTTTCATACCCAGATCTAAATCCTTAATGTTTTTGCTGAATTCTGTCTTTTTTTGTGTTTATCTTGTGTTTTGCCTATCTGGGTAGTCGTGTGTTTTTTGGCAATAACTAGATTTAGTTGGTTGCACGGGCTTCTGGTTCAAAACAAGATGTTTGGAAGGTCGGTTATGTCGAGAACTGGGAGCTTCAGGCCTGAAAACCTGGGTCAACATGCATTGGCTATGATAGGCAATCTTTGCTTCACAATGTTTGTGGTAGGAGTCTTGGTTTTTACAATCATAGCGGCTACGTATGAACCTGAGGACCCCCTTTTTCACCCATCAGACAAGATCACCAATTTCCTCACATCCACCTCAAATGCCACGTTCAAATCTGATATCAGCGTTGTCAGAACAGGAGAGGATTTTATGACCCCAAATCAAACTGTTGTTGCTGGTTTTATCAATATAACAGATGTTGAAAACTTGGAGAGGACACCTGAAACGGGCTCATCTGACTGTGATACTGATTTTGCAACTAAGCCACTTGATTGTAGGGACCCAGAAGTGTTCCATTTGATGATGAAGGCAGCCATAGAGCAGTTTAAGGATATACATTTTTACCGTTTTGGGAAGCCAGTTGCTGGGTCCAATGAGACTACATGTGATATGGCATGGAGATTTAGGCCTAAGGAAGGGAAGACTGCAGCTTTTTATAAGGATTACAGGCGGTTTGTGATATCTAGGTCAAACAATTGTACGGTTAGTGTGGTGGGAATTGGGGATTATCATTCAGGTGTGAATGCAAGGAAGAGGAAGAAGCAGAAACCTGGATTTGAGAAGAAATCAGAGAAGTCGGATCAAGGTAGTATGCCTTTGGTTGTTGGGGAAGTTGTGAATGATGCACTTGTTAACATATCTGAGGGTGCATTTAGTCATGGGAAGTACTTGATTTATGTTGGTGGTGGAGATAGGTGCAAGACCATTAATCATTATTTGTGGAGCTTCTTGTGTGCTCTGGGTGAAGCACAATATTTGAATCGAACATTAGTTATGGATTTGACACTCTGTCTGTCATCAATCTACACTAATTCCAACCAGGATGAGGAAGGGAAGGATTTTAGGTTTTATTTTGATTTTGAGCATCTGAGAGAGGCAGCATCAGTGTTGGATCAGGATCAGTTTTGGTCAGATTGGAATAAATGGCAGAAGAAAGATGGCTTGAAGCTTCATCTAGTGGAGGACTTTAGGGTAACACCCATGAAGCTTGCTGAAGTGAAGGATACCTTGATTATGAGGAAGTTTGGATCTGTGGAGCCAGATAATTACTGGTACAGGGTATGTGAAGGAGAGACAGAATCTGTTGTTCAAAGGCCTTGGCATCTGCTGTGGAAATCAAGAAGGCTATTGGATATAGTATCTGCGATAGCAACAAGGTTAAATTGGGATTATGACTCTGTTCATATTGAGAGAGGAGAGAAAGCAAGGAACAAGGAGCTGTGGCCTAACCTTGAACAAGATACTTCACCAGATGCACTTCTCACTACGCTGCAGGACAAGCTTGAGGATGGGAGGCATGTCTATATCGCAACAAATGAACCTGACACATCCTTCTTTGACCCTTTGAAAGACAAATATACCACTCATTTTCTTGATGAGTACAAGGACCTTTGGGATGAAAACAGTGAGTGGTATTCAGAGACAACAAAGCTTAACAATGGAATTCCAGTTGAATTTGATGGTTACATGAGGGTGTCTGTCGATACAGAAGTTTTCTTGAGAGGGAAGAAGCAGATTGAGACTTTCAACGATCTCACCAATGATTGCAAGGATGGTGTAAACACGTGCAACACTGCATCCAGTTAATTCCTGACGTTTGGGGCTGGAGACTTCGTTCAGGCATATTCATGTGTACTTTTAGCTGTTATTTGATGTTTCTGGGAAACCGTAAGCCGCATTTGTTAGTGTATTTCATTCATTAGCATTTTCACGAATTTTGTACTTTTAGAATATCCACTTCCTGTTTCATGAATTGCAATCCTCTAGCCCGTTAAGCTTTTAGTTGTGATTTTGTTCTTCATTTGAATGGCAAGAGCTGGAAATCTGTGTCTACTATTTCTAAACTGCTTCCCCATCGTGACATTTGTTTACCTCAGTTCGTCGGTTAATGATGTTTCAAAAGAAACCACGAACTACTTAAATCTATTTTTCAAGCATAGCTCCCTAAATCTTGAAAAAGTGAACTTTAGTATGCGTGCTTGAAGGTGAGGCATGATGCACTTGTACAGCACTGATCATGAACCAGATGAATCCATGATAATCTCTATCTTCTCTACAGGATATTAGCATTGTTGAAGCTGAACATAAAATTCCAAAATTTAAGCTTTAAATTTAACAAGCTTTTCAAACTTTACCATCACCAGTAATTGACATTGTTATTGCTATTGCTGAGAAAAAAGAATATAATGGCCTTGTTAAGAAATCAGTGCATATCCAAGCGGAAAAAAATGGGGGAAGAAACTTCCCACATCAAAGAATTACATGCTGCTGGCAACCAAAGGGCCCTCAGCCTCAGGCGCACCCCATTTGGAAGAACCTATCCTCTTCTCCAGCATTTTCTCGCCGTTCACCTCTTTCTACCTGAACATAAAAATCCTAAACGAAAAGAACTTCTCATGTAAACAGTAAATATGTATCATTTTTAATTATTCTCTTCTTCATTTCCTTTTTGTCTTTGGTTTTTTAACAGGAATGAGAGTCTCTTTCTTCTGAGAATTACTCGTTCTAGCCTCTGCTGCTTGTAACATTGAAATAGGAACTTGATGCGGTTTCTCCTCATCTGTAAATGGTTTCACCTCAAATGTTCCTCTGGTAAAACCTCTAGCAACCTGTTGCATTACAGTTCTGATGATTAGCAGAATATATAGAAAATAATACAAGCATAAAAGTAAATATTTATAGATAGTTTCAGTTCCATGCAATATCTGTATATGAAGAAACATTAGTCATGTTTTAACAGATATCTGGAGAATAAAAATCGGCTAGAGGAGAACAATGAGAAGAAGTTCAAGTTAAAAGAGTTATCCAAAATCATCTCAGTCCAAAAGGAATTTATACAATTCAAACTTGAGTCAGTTTGGTTTCATTATACAATACATACTAGAAGACCCAAGCATAAGAGCATACATGCTCAAAATTGATACGAAACATAAATAAATAGATTGCATAATGAACAGTTCCCCACTCACTTGACTGGAAATGGGTAATGGTCATATGGAGACAGTGCTCTCAAGGAATGAGGGAATCCAAACTTTTGGGATTGAGATGGGGGTTGATATATCCAGAGTTCGGGAAAAGATAAAACATTCATTGATTAGAGCATACCTTTAAAAGAATCCAAACTCTGAGGGAGCTACTTAAGATTGCAAGTCTTGTCCTTTTCCCTGAAGTTAAATACTCGCACATTTGATGGTCAACCCTCAGTATAAATCTTGGCCAGGATTTAGGGTGCTCAGGGTCTGCTTTTTGGTTCATTGTTGCCTGATGCCAAGAAACAAAGTAGATAAACAGACCAACTAAGAGAATTAAGGATGGCATGGCCATGATAAGCATAATTACTATAGGGTGAGTAGCTTCAAAAGCATGCTACGTCATCATATGAAGATAAGCAGCAGATGGAGAGCTTCAGAACTCCAGTGAACCAATGGAACACTAGAGGAATATAAATCTGTTAAAAGGGCAATTTTTTTAAAAAAATTATTTATGAAAGAGGGCAATTAGTACATTAAAAGGGGTAGTGGGGAGGGGAATACAGTGTTTGGGTTTGAACCCAGAATCAATACTACAGCGTTTGAAGCCCTTACCACCAGGGCATAACATTTGGCATTAAAAGTGAAATCTGTTCTCATGAAACTATGAAGAAAATGAAGAGACCATTTTCTTTTTGTCCCTAATATGGATCCAACAGTAATTATTATTATTTTTTTATGATTTCTCCAAGTATATAATTGACAAAGTAAATTATGTTCCAAAAATAACTTACAAGTAACCGGCAAATTTCCTGTTCAATTTTTGAAAAGGATGTCTCCAGTGCTTCAACCCTCCCAGTAGCATGACAGCAAGTGCATGGTTCACTGATCATAAAAGTGACACTAGGCCGTACCTGATCAATATTGTCCCATCAATTTATTAGACATATAAAATAAACATCAGTCAACTTACTAGGGAATAAAGTCTGATAATATGCATGCACTTTTGCAAAGGTAATTTTACATTAGTTTAATTGTAGTAGGGAAGGCTTGGGTACCTATCATATATTGCTTATGGCAAAACCAAAAAAAAAAAAAAGAATCTATCATCAATTGCTGCTTTAGAAACATTTCCTGAAATTAAAAAGAGAAACAGCCATAATAATAGCATACCCTCTTTCTAGTTATTTCCATAAGTCCATGCCTTGACAACTCAGAGACATTCACCAATGACCTGTCTCGCTCAACAGCCTTTTTAACCTCTTCATAAACCAACCTCTTGCTCACTGAAAAATATTTGACAAGTGCAAATCAGAAAACAATATGCAGATTATAAAGCAAGAGACATGACCTCTATTAGGTTTTTCTGCACCAACCCTCTTTTATATCCCATTCATCTCTTGCAAAAGTATCAAAGGAGCTGAGTCTGTTATGTTGCCAAACCATATTAAGAAGGATTAACACCATAGACTACAGGTTCAAAATAAGTGGGAATTCCAAATATCTCCTGTGTCTCAAGTACATTGTACTAACACACTCCTTGGGCAGGAGGCATGTGGAGCATATGTTTTCTTGAATCTTTCATACACTTCATCCCTAACTTGTTTTGATAGTTTATGCATTTACAATTTCCAAGATCGACCTGTTGAAAAGGCAACTAATTAAAGAAAAACATGGCAGCCAAGCCCTTCCACAGCACAGCTGTCAACCTTCATACCAGAAAGAAATAACTGCTATGAAGAGAGCAGTATATGAAGCTACAACTCACATTTTTAATCTATTTATTCCAAATTACCATTTTTGAATTCAAAAAGCATGAAGCAAAAACATAAATCCAAGAAACTCTGAAGCTATTATTGCAAAATTTTATATATAACAAGAACAAACCCTCTGCCCCTCCCCACCGCTTTCCACCGGCTCAATTAAACATGCACATGCAGACTTATACATTCTCACCACCCACGCACACACTCATGGGGGAGAGAGATTTACTTACAGTCATCCACCATATCAATGAAATCTACTACAATGATGCCACCAATATCCCTGAGTCGTAACTCCCTTGCAATCTGAAGTGCATTATTTTGTATTGAGTAATGAATGCGTTAAAGTCTAAGCAGTAGAAAACACAGCCAGATAAATTAAGAAAAAAACAAGGATATTTAAATAAATGTAAACTACTTTCCACACCCCACTCTGTTTATGCAGATTCAATACAAAATTCACTTCTTAATTTAAATGTTATGTTGCTTGATTGTGTTTATATTGGGCAACTTCACTCATGGGGTCTGCAGTGCATGGAAATAAAAACTTTGGATCCATAATGTAAGCACATTCTTTTTGACTAGACTGGTCCTTAAAAACTCATTATACACAATATGCCCTGTGCATGCAAGGTGGCAAAGTTCAGTCTCTAACATACTTGTTTTGCAGCTGCAAGGTTGACATCTAGAGTAGCTTTCTCCTGCGATGCTCCCTGACCAAACATCCCATGTCCTCCATTCACATCGATAGAGACCAATGCCTCTGTCTGTTCAATCACCAGAGAACCTCCATTGGGCAGGGGAACCCTGTCGACCAAAGTTGTAGCCCAAAGTTGTAAAATAGATAAGAAAGCATAGGAAAGAAGAGGATAAACCAGGAGAAGAGGGGGGTAACAATTAGCTTTGCTATGCCTTCACAGATAAATGACAATGGTTTAGATTTTGTCATTCCATTTTCATACTAGGAAACCATCTGAAGCCAACTAAAAGGGGAAAAAATTAAAGGTTTTGTTGTTATTATCATCTTTTTTGGGTTTTAACACCCACCTTCAGGTTGGGACTTTGGGATTCCAAACCCCTCTCTAGACCTACGAGATTGGATGTTTCCATCTCTTTATAGTGCTCTAACTGGAACTTTATTTAAAAAAAAAAAAAAATGAGGTAACAATAACAAAATTGGAGGGTCCACTCAGCAAGGTGATAAAGGATGCACAGGAAAAAAAAAAAAAAAAAAAAAACAGAAACTCACCGTTTGCTGAGCATGTTGCTTATCTCTTCTTCAATGTTAAATTCATCAAAGAGAGGAATTCTTTTATCAAATAACTCTATGCGATCACAAAGATCAGGAGCCATTTCCTGGAGATAGCTGGTAACCTGAGATGAAAACAAGGAAAAAAGGAAGGTTTAAAACTTTAATTTTCCAGAAAGGAAGTAAAGATGAGGTCAATAAACAGAACAGAAACCAAAAGTAAGATGAGAGACTCGACCCAGGTACATATACAAATATTACACAGAAAAAAATGTTAAAGAATAATAAAACCCTTCCATTCCTTTACTAGATTTATATCAGATAAATGCTGTATATTCTTAATAACAGTCAAGGCAAATACCATATATGATGGTTACTGAAAATATTTAAATGCTTTCACAATTACAATTACATTAAACATGTATATGTACATTTAACAAAAGTATACTCATATTTCATGTATTTTTGTGATAACTCTGCTATACCAGTCAGAGCTTTTTTGCATATTTTTTGGATTTTGGTTATTTCAGGCCCCAAGATTTTTAGCAACAGCCCTTTGATTCCTTCGCTAGCTATTTATTTAGTGAATTTTATATTAATAATACTTATGTCCTTATGACACATGATATTCACTCTATATATTTCAATGCTTTCAAAACTCAATATAATGTCCTTCAATAAACCTAGATTGCCTCCCAATACAAGTGTAAATGAGCCAAGCCACTCGTGAGCTCTTTGGGTGCAGCTTGCAAAAAAACTTGTCTCAGCTTTGTTGTCTAATAATGGACTAGTTGAGTTTGCTTTCAAGCTCAATCAAATAAACAACCCAAATTTCAGACTTCCCAGTATTCAATTTGAAAGTTTGCAAGTTCCATTTGTTTATGTAGATAAAACTATGTTATAGTTTGAGCTCAACTAATTCAAGTTTAATAGTAAATATAGTCAAGCATGAACTTGACAAGGGCTTGACTTCAAATATCTTGTTTAACAAACCTACTTTTTTTTTTTAGCCAAACTTGTGCCAGGAAAATAGGCTTGAACTAGTGGCGGAGCCAGGAATTTATCTCAGGAGGAGCAAAATTTTAAAAAGGAATGAAATGAGAAGGAACTTTGATCGATGCTCCAAAACAGTCACAACTGGAGAGTGATATGAAACAACCAGGAACAAGATGCTTGAATTTCATTTCTTGGTCCAAAAATAGAACAAGATGCCCATATGCAAATCCATAAGCAGCAAATCATAAGGCATAAAATGGTAATTTGTAACAGCACCAATCACTCCTTTAAACAACCTTAATGTCCCAGGGACATAAATTGAACAACATCTTAATGAAAAATCAAAATTTGCAGTTTGTACACACCTAAATCAAACCTGAGCCTAAAATATCCACACATCAGTTTAAAAGCTAGAAGAGTGAGTGATTGTAAACTTGGGTATATGCCCAGTGTAAACCGTATGGGCCCTTTGAGGTTTTAATTATTAGTGAATATTTGTCTAGTTGCCTTTGTGCAAAAAAGCCTAAAATAAAACCTTAACTAAATGGATACATCACCTACACAAAATCTTGAACATTCATCCCTCCACTATGAATGGTTAAGATTTATTTACTTTTTATCATATTTTTTAAATATATCTGTCTTTTTCATCTAAAAAGTCATGATAAAACTCAACCATTCATAGTGAAGAGATGAATGGTCAAGATAGTGAAGTGTGTAAGAGTTGTGTGTAAGTTGATCATAACCAATATATATATATATATATATATATATATATGAGAATAGTGTATATAAATCCTGATTTCATGGAGTCCCAATTCAAAAACATCATCTCCAATTTTAGGGATTTTGAAGTTAATGATCTAGGGCTTTCCAGGAAAGAGAGGAGGGCTTATGGAAAAAGAAAGAGGAGATATCTTAGAAGTTTAGAGATTTTTTTATTAATTTTTTTGGCCAAGAAATTTAGAGATTAAAAGGTGTTTTTATGTTTAATAGACCAACCTTAATGGACTCACTAATTGCAATGTCAACATTGAATTTGAATTTAACAATCAAGACAAATAGAAGGACCAATGTTGATTATTACCACAAAGGTTAGGGATGGTGCGTGGAATAAAATAAAGATTAGGGATGAAAGTGTCCTATGTTAGACAGGTTAAGGACTAGTGGTGGAATTTACCATTGAAATTTTTCAAAAGTTTAGGGGGCCAGCGCCCAACTTGTCTATATATAGCTGCCCCTTGTTTACTTGGGCTTGGCTCACCACCACCTTTCTGTTTAACCATACTTATTTACAGTTTGAAAAGACTTCTTACATGAAAATATTAAATGATGCAACCTCCATAGAAAGGGAAAATCAGGAAACAGGAAAAATATCAAAGCACCTCCATAAAGAGAAGCACACACAGATAGACACAAATTTAAACAAATTGCTTTCTAATTATCATAATAAGACGCTTTGTATACCTCTTGATATGTTCTTGGAGAGTCAACTACCATTTTCTTAACCTGAATATCAACATTGAAAAAAAAAAAGTCAAGAGGGGATGGCACTGTTGCAAATGAGATAATACAAGATCTGATATAAATAAATCAATTAAGGCATTGGATGAATGGAAGAATGTAATAAAAAATAAAATGACAAAAATTTGCCTTCTCATTAAAGTAGTCCTGGACAACAGAGAGTGTTTGACCCATCGCTCTGTGCAGCATAACAGGAATGGCCCCTTCAACACCTTCATCAGCAGCAAGAGCAGCAAATTTTGCATGTTCCACAATGTTTTTCCACGTTGAAAGTAAACCTTCCAAGTCTCTCTGTAGTTCCTCTAAAGAATGACCAGCAGCAACTGTCCTTACAGTCAGACCAAAACCCTGTGGCTGCAAAGTTTTTGCTATGACTTTCAAGCGTGTTCGCTCAACACCAGTAATTTTTTTTGACACTCCAATCCTATTGCAACGTGTTGATAATATCTGCAAACAAAGGAAATAGTTCAGAGAAAGCAGCCCAATGAGAAAATCAACAGACAAACACCACACCAGTGTTTTCATGCAGCAGGGATGCACACACAGAGGACTAAAGAGGAGGAAAGAAGGTAAAATGAAATACCCAGAATCTGCTTCTTAATTTTGGATAGGAAGTCAATGTGGGACCTTTTGTACCCAATCCTTCTTTGACAACTTGTACAATTATTTTGGTACCCTTTCTGACATGGTCCCACTTGCTTTCAGTGCTAAATATATGTCCAGAATCCTTAATCTCAGGGGAATATTTTGGAGAATGTTGAGAACCTTCTATTTCAAAAGAATGGGAGCCATTTAAACTTTCATATTCCAGATGATACTCTCCATCTAACAGGTCCTCAAAATCAGCTTCGGCTTCAGCATAATCAACTATACTACCATTTGTATTATCTTTAAGAACTTCAGAAACATTTAAATCCACATCAATATCATTTGCCTCATCAAAATCTTGAGACTCATCTTCCACAGCATCCTCAATTGCCATATCATGTGACATGTCTTTAGTGTCATGAACAGCTAACTGCTCTTCGGGAGCCCCAACAATAGAACCATTTGCCTGCTTCTTTGTCTTGCCCTGAAATGGAGGGAACACAAATGGTTCTATGTTCTGCTTTATTTCCATAAAAGAATGCCTAAAATTTCCAATGCTTACAAATGCCCCACCCATGTGAGGAACAAGTTTTGTGACCACTCCTAGATAAATATTATCACACTGAACATTGCCTTTAACTGGCTCAAGTAATAACTCTACCAATTTACCATCTTCCAGTACAGCAATCCTTTGCATGGCACATATTGAAGAGTTGATCAGTATAACAGTGACTATAGAATCTTCCTTGGAAGTTAAAGCTCTCCCTCCTTCAGGCAAGAAATTTTCTGTAATTGGGTAATGATGATGATTATTTATTTCTGACTGAATTGCCTCATCTTTTCCAGCGTCAATCTTCGTAGACAACTCAGACTTCATGCCATTCACTGATGCACAAAAGAAGAGGGATGACTGGACTAACCATGGTTCCTCAACAGGTTGATATTTTTCAGAGAAAAGCACGTTGGAATCTGAAACCTCATCTGCAGCACTCATCATAAGCTCATTATCAGAATATACTACATCCTTAGGTGTGGAATCAAGTAAACATTGCTTTGACTCTTCTGAGAAACTTTCATGATGTCCAATCTCCTCCTGACCTGTCAAAGCACTGGAAGCATTGAGTGTTCAGAAACATTTTAAGAAAAAGGGAAGCTACATATATAAAGTTTTTAAAAAGAGATATCACGTTTGGCTAGAATTGAGACGATAGGGTGTAGAGGATTACAAGTTTCCTCAACCCATGATCCCCAAAGATGAGGTGGTGACCTTTCCGTTTTAGACCTTATTATCCATGAATCTCTCACCACAATTGTCCTGTCATGTTTCACAACTAGAGGTACAGACAGAGAAAAGTCAGGCCCAGGTCTCCAAATGATGTCTGATGAAGGCCATGTTTCTCCTCTTAGGAAATAATTATACTTGAGATTTACACCAGAAGCTATCTGTCAAGCAAAGACTGTTATTATGCCAATCAAGCAGTCCATAAAAATCATAGCTGCCAATTAATACATCATACCCTGTTACTAGTCTATTATAGCTACAAATGACGATCCAGCTATTTTAATCATATATAAGGTCCTAGGGCTGCAATTTTCTTCAGGAACAAAAGAAAGAGTACTGATCATATCAACATTCATTACCATTTCTTGGGACAAAAGATAAACATGATTCAACCCAAAGAAGAAAAATAGAAAAAAAAAATTGGACAAAAAGAATAACCTTCTATACAGAAAACATCCCAAGACATGGATTGACTAATAACCATATAACATAAACCTTGCACTCTGATGGACTTTCTACAATGATCTGTCATGTTAAGTCAACTAACTAACAAGAATGAGCCATTATAGATAAAGAGCCAGAGAAGAAATCAGGCGATATATATATATACATACAAATATTTTACTTTTAGCATTAGTTTATTTTTCATAATTTTCCAATAGTAAATTTTTCCACTTATGAAAGTTGAACAATATTACCTTAACTTCAGCCCTCCATATATTTGTCTGTCCAGTAGGAGACATTAGAATTGCTATCTCTGGTTCCCAGCAACCCAGGGCAACAGGATCCCCAGTAATGTACAGATATTGACCTTCCTCCACATCTGCTTCCATGATCCAAACTATCTTACATAATCCTTCAAAAGTAGGAATTGACAAGCCTGAGAAATTAGAATGTGAAAACCCATCAGTCATCTATAAACTCCATGAAAGTACTTCCGAAAGGATTAAGCAACGTATTAACTATTAGAAAGAGCCATTGAGACAGTTGTTCAGTGGTAAGAAACAATGATGAGGCCATGTGAAGTCCTAGGCTTAAATTCCCTCCATCCCAAATATCCGAGGAAATATAAGGAAAGAAAACTATTAGAAGAGAAGAAAATGACAAGGGTTAGAAATTTCATTTTTCAGAAAGGATTTACATATAGAGACTGTTTAGCGCACAACCTAAGGGTGGACACTGCAAGCCCTGTTTAGTGCACTGTGAGTCCATGTGACGGCCTAGTGGGCCAGAACGCGAAGGCAAGTATCAAGTGGGAAATTAAATAACATGTGGACTACTCCACTTATTGCCAATTATTTTTAGGTTAGATGTTTACTGGATGATATACATATACAATAAAGGGGCAACTGACAACCTAGGCTTTATTACCATGTTAAAGCTTTTGAGCTAAAACCATTTTAGAATACGTGAAGAGGACCCAACTACACATAAGGCTAATAGACCCTAACCTAAATTTGATTGATGTGGGCTATTACCACTACTTTTTTATAGGCATATTACCACTAATTAATACTTGACAAGGTCTCATTTTACCATGGCATTACGAATCTGCATTAGACAGTGCATATGAGTAGCTACCCCAAACTTGCATAAGGTAGCTGAAGACATTCCATGGGAGCATTGTCATTGATTTGAAATCCACTGGCACTGTGATAGAGTTAGCCAACCAATCAGAACAATGGTTGCACGGATGGTATACATGTTGCAGAAAAACAGTCCATTCTAAAGGAAAAAAGGTGCTGAATGAAGTTGATGTTCATCTCACTCCAGTTAACTATCCTTTTGCTTGAAGTTTAAGATGACAAAGTCAACAACTACAAATGATTGCAACTGGAAAAGAATAGATCTTTGTGAAAATTGGACATGTAGATCAAAACAAAGTACAGGCATGCAAACTAAACAATTGAAAGGAGTAGCCCTTCTTACATTTAAGCACACATGTTACTTGTTATTTCTTCAATGTGGGATTTTCCCACGAAACAATTACAATCATAACAATTAAAATCATATAAATAGGACCAATGAGGTATAATATTGCCAAACCAAACAAGGAATTCAAACTCCACTTGATGGAAACAAAAATTCATCTTTACCTTCAGAACAACCAAAAAAGGGTAAAATCACAGCCTGCTGCAGCTTCTTTGAATAGAAAGCTCAAAATTAAACTTATGCATCATCAACAACAACAACTCTAATACCAATAACTTATCATCGTAAAATAAATAGGAATAAACATGATGATAATGTGAAATTGTTCAATGAGTTGAACTAAACCAAGCATCAAAACACTCAACTAAATGAGGTGAATATTAAGCATTAATTCTATGCATTTGTTAAACAAACCAGCCAATCCCACCTTCTTAATGACTCAATATAAAGTATTAACTATGGCCTTGGATCATTTCCACCTCAATATTCAAGTATTTAGAATTCAGCAAAGTGAATATCAAATCATATCTATGGATACCTTTCTTTGCAGTCATCATGTGAAATTGTGCCAAAGAAATAGGATGTCCCATACAAAGAGTGAATTTGAACACATTTCTGAGGGATGTTTGATGCCTTGGGTACCTGCTTCAATGGTAGCATCAACAGAGATTTTAAAAACAGCTCTAGCTCAAGTTGTAAAAAATTTGAAATTAATAAAAAAAATCATTAAACCCAAAAGCTTTTGTGCTATATGCAAATAATGGTTCTTGTGAATCCTAACTTAACATCAGTTCATTTACAAGATTTCATTTTAAGCAATAGAATTCCAGGATTTCTGTTGATGTATGTTGTTCCCTTATGAGTGTGAAGAATTAGAGTCCCATGTTAAAGAAATATCAGAAGAAAGAGTGGCTTAAATATGTCAAGACCCAGGTAAGTACTAGATTAGTCTTTTGGTTATAACATGGTATCGAAACATGTGATGGGCCACCGAATGTATCTCCCAGTTAGGCCTTGTGTCTCCCTAACAAGTGGTATCAAAACCATTGGCGTTCAGCCAGTGGTAAAAATGAACTCTCATGGGAGCCTTTACAACTCACAAGTGAAAGGGGGAGTGTTGAATTATATTGTTCCCTTGTGAGCGTGAAGAATTAGAGTCCCACATTGAAGAAATAAGATTTGGTAAAAATAAAGATACAACCTTTTTAAAATTTTCTAATTGAGGATATAACTTTTTTCGTAACTAATTAAGATTATCACCTTTCAAAAGTTTTTAATCAAGGATATGACCTTTGCAATTTTATTAACAAAGGATTAACCGGATATGTGTGCTGACGTAGCCACCACCTTTTAGAAAAAATAAAGGCAGATCAAGGATTAAGCGGAATCTGTTAGCCACAACAACAGGTACATCCACTTAATCCTTTGTTAGTAAAATTGTAAGGGTCATATCCTTAATTAGAATATTTTGAAATGTGGCAACCTTAATTAGTTATGAAAAAATATCATATCCTCAATTAGATAATTTTAGAAAGATAGTGTCCTTATTTTTACTAAATCTCTTAAAGAAATGTGAAAAGAAAGGGTGACTTAAATATGTTACTGGACTAGTCTTTTGGTTACAAGATGGTATCAAAACATGTGATGGGCCACCAAATGTTTCTCCCTACTAGGCCTTGTGTCTCCCTTCTTGCCTGTGATGTAATGTAATCGTGGAAGGTTTTATATCAATTTGTTTGTCCGCAAGATTTTCCTATGCATAAAAGGCTGGAAATTCAGTCATATGGTAAACAATTGACTGCGGAAGTTGAGGATGTCAAAAAGGATAAAAGTGCATTTGGTCCCCCGTTCCCTTTAAGTAAATACTTGGAAGAAATTACTCTACCATCATGTTGGAGCTCATTGAAAGAAGAAATTGAGGATGTCCAAAAGGATAAAAATTCTAACAAGCAAAACATCATACAGTTTCCGGGCAATACTACAACGAGTCTTCTTTACCTACCATGAGCATTTGCCCTTATGCAAGTAATCTTTTGAGGCATTTAAAAATTTATCACTCTATACAATCATGAACTAACATACTTGTAGTTAATTAAGAATAAAGTTCCTGCCTTTTTCTTTTCTGGCCAATTTTAAAGCTTATGCACACCATTTTTACGCTGACTCATACAGCCTAATTTGATAAACTATCCAAATTCTTAAAACAAAGATGTTAAAAGACAAGCATCAGATTAAACAAAAGCTGGGATTTACATAACATCACTAAAAAATCATAAACCCATTTCATGAAAAAAAAAAAAATCAGTTCAATAATATCACTACTGGCACCGTGAACAAGAGCATACGCAGGAAAGCCACATAATAACGGATGCTAATACACAAAAACGAGTATGCATGCATAGAGATGCCAAACTTACGGTGAAAGGAAACTGAAGGGACTGCGCAAGCAAGAGGGTCTGCGCGGAGAGAGGAGATGGTGAAGCTGAGAACCAGCTTCGGCGATATCCATGAACCTGAGCTTGGGCTCAGTAACGCGAGGAGGATAGAGAAGAGAGGGCATGGGAGGAGGTTGAGCGATGATAAATTTGTAAAGGGAATTTGGGGAATTCCATCATTGGCAGGTACGGTGGCGCAAGCTTGGTCGGAGCAAAGGCATTTTGATTGAAGGCGCGATGAGGATGGACGGAGTGGATAGGAGGGGCGGACTAGCGGAGGATATTGAGTCTAAGAATGTCTCTGCACTTGGCGCCTTGTGTGGCAAGTGGGTATATTAAAGCACACGAGTGAATTGGTTATAAAAACCCCAACTAGCTCTAAAAAAAATTAAGCGGTAAATTTTTATTAATTTTTATTTTAAAATATAAATTTTTAAAATTTTTAAATTATAAATTTTTATTTTTATTTAAAAATATATATTTTATTCTTTTTAATTTAAAATTATGAACTTTGTTCTATTTCAAATAAAATTGTTATTTTCATATCACTTTTGCCTCTAATAAATCTTTTCATAAAAAATATATAAGGTTTATATTCTTATTTAAAAGAAAATTAAAGTTTATTTTTGAATCTCAATAGTTTGTATTTTCAAATAAAAAAATAAAATTTGTGTTCTTATACTTTTTATCTCATTTAGACCACTCAGTTACTCTTTTTTATATTTTAAAATTTTTTTATCAACTTTAGATTTTAAAAATTAATGTAATATTTAAAAAGTTTGAACTAGTTTTTTAAACCGTAAAGGATAAATGCCATATTTAGTCTCCAACTTTTATCACTAAACTAAATATTGTCTAACATTTCATTTCAACCGAAAACAATCTCTAACTTGTTCAAAATCATTAACATCATATTTG